GGCTAATTTATTTGCCTTCACATTTAAACCATCTGCATATTCAGATTCAGATTAAGTTTATTTGCCATTTGCAGTAAAAAAAACCCACATTGGAATACATTAGCAAAAAGTCTCCAGTGTGCACAGACAAATACAGACATAACCCAACATTAAAAGACAGAAATAAAACAAATAAAACAGTAAACAATTGACACTGTGAAATCGATCGGCTAAAACAGTTTCAGTACAAGTGCAAATCATTAAAGTGATCTATTTCAAACTGATAACAGAATGTGGAAAAAAGCTGTTTATTTCTATGCTCCCAATAGGGGCATCTATCATTTATGCATTTGAGGGAACTGTAAATGTTAATGCCAATATAAGGTTGAACATAATGTGGACACGTCAGATTGTAGCTAAAAGATAATTTGACACACACACACACACACACGCTCACACACCCATGTTTACACGCCCACACGGTATTATTAGGTGTATCATGATTCATAATTATTCATTAATAAAGAAAAACATGATTTGTATAATTTCAAGTTGGGGGTATTTAGGGCGTTTTAGGGTATTCTATAATGTTCCTGTGAAATGTGTCCACTGAATTTATCTCCAGACTTTGACGCTCCAAACATTACCTTTGGTGCATGTTGGAGACTGGCGGAAACTGGAGAGCCCAGGAAGAAAACCCACGCAGACACAGGGAGAAAACCACAAGCTTGGGTCGACACAGGGATCAAACCCACATCTCTGCAGTTAAGCGTGAGTGCTGTGTGTGATACCCACTCACCACCTGTCTGAGTGGGTAGCACTAGAACCAGGAAGTACCATCACATTGTCCTGGACTCTTGTCTCTCCATCTGTGACATGTTATTACCATTCGAACCAATTCAAACTCTGAGGAGTGCAGGGACTGGCCTCCTGCTGGTGCCCATAGTCAGGACAAAACATGGGCAGGTTTCAGAATCCTGCAGCTTAAATCAGAAACAGTCTTCCTGAAAATGTCAGCCAGGCTTCTCCTCTGACAATGTTCAACCCTTGGGCAGGGCTGGACTGGGACAAAAAAACGGCCCGGGCATTTTTTCCTTCTTACCGGCCCAGGCATGTTTTTGTCACGTTTTTTACAGTTTGTTTATACCAGGGATCGGCAACTCAAAAAGGTTCAAAGAGCCATATTTGACAAAAAATACTAAAAACATCTGTCTGGAGCCGCAAAAAAATAACAGCCTTGTATAAAGCTTATATGAAGGTTACACAATGTAGCTACATTAGCTACATTAGCCTATTATCTAAACCAAGTAAAGGCTACAAATACATGATTAGCATTCATGATTGTCAAATGTATGTTTTCACTGCAGCGTGTCCTGGAGAGAATGACGCACCACGTGATGACTCTGCTTTAACTTTGACTTCCATTTTTTTGCCTTCATGCAACTGTAGAAATACAGTAAATAAATCTGCTTTTTGGCTCAAAGGTCACACACCTGCACTGTCCGCTCATATCGATCACGTCACAGGCTGAAGTTTGCTGGAGCTGAATGTCCTTAATGGCCTTTTCTTTCACAGTCTTTGCGGAGGTTTTTGAAGTCTGAAAAAGGTGCTCCGGATTTTGTATGAAAGAATCCTTCACGTAATCACGTGAACGGTATTTAGTGCTTCATTGTTCCTCGTGTTGCAACAAAACTTCCTATTACATCGCAAACATGAAGCAGTCCTTCCTCATTGACTGAAAGCAAATGTTCAGTCTTGTTCTTAGTCCAGTCTTATTATCGACTCGTTCTCTTTTTATCTTTGGGATCCGTGCGCACACGCCGGTTTGTTTACAGCAGCGGCCGTCTGCCGCGGGGCCGCGCCACAGGATATGACTCACTACGTTGACAGAAATGTTGAAATTTAATATTACTTATACACATTTTTACAGCATTGAAATACGTTAGGAATGTTTTTCCTCCTACAGAAACCACATTCAAATTAGGAATAAAATATAGCCCTCACACTCCATTTTTCAGACATTTTTGAAAAGGCTCCAGGAGCCACTGGAGGAGCACTAAAGGTTGCCGACCCCTGGTTTATACAGTATGTGGAAGCAAATACTGTAGAGGATCAGGATGTCTACAGTTTCAACAAAAAAATAAAGTGCAATAGTCTACATTACAAGAGAGTAATAAACATGTCTCAGGGTGATGGAGGTGGACGCAGACAACACTATTGTTTGTTACAGGGATGAGAATTGGTCAAAAAAGTCTGAAATGCATAATGTCAGCCATTGGCTGGCTCTAAATCTGTTTAATTTTTTCACAACATTTTACTTTTGGGCTCAAACATGAACTTTTAATGCAATGGGAAATTTAGGCACCCGAGCTTTAATTTAGTCGCACTTCGAGAGGAGAGGGGAGACGCGGACTGTTTCCTGCAGCGGTGTATTTATTGGGTGCACAAATTACGCAAAGACACGCATGGTCCTGTGCACGTTTATGGTCTTGGGTACATGGTCACGTTGCGGCTACGCGCTCACAGTGTTGTGTTGTGAGCGGTTCCTGCGTCCAGCTCAGAGCCGCTGGATGCCGGAACACTGCGGCCGCTGAGGTGGTAGAATCCCGTTCCAGTACATACAGCAGGTGCCCCGCGGACACGCGCTCCCCCTCGAACAGTTCTCAACGGATTTACACTTTTCACAAACATCTTTTTTGTATGAGGCAAACAGACCGGCCCAAATATGGGCATCGGCCCTTCTGGCATTGCCCGGTACGCCCGATGGCCAGTCCAGCCCTGCCCTTGGGTCAAAATTACCCACCGCAGTGATGAAAAGTAGAAGAACAATACTCTAAATTAGGGCTGGTTAGTTAGGAAAAGTCTCTTTGGTGGGAGGATAGCACAAGGGGATAATGTTCTGGGATGTTTTATTTTGTTTTATGTTTTGCGTTTTTTCAGTACTTTGAGTTGCTTTTTATGTATACAAATAAACTTGCCTTGTCTTGATAATCGCATTTTCTATGTATACGATGTAATGTCTTTGTAACAAGACCAGAAAGGAGATCTACAGGCTCAATCATCTGTCAATACGTGCAACTTGAATTAGCTCTGTTTGGGACGAGCAGTCAACGCTGATCTACGTCACTTCCTCGGAGAGAGATAGAGATAGAGCGAGAGAGAGAGAGAGAGAGAGAGAGACAGGCGCGCACAGACCTTCTCTCCAGTCCAGTCTGTCACCGCGAACACAGACCTACCCACTCCACTCGTTGCTGTCAACCCCAACCCCGAAAACAGTCGTCGTGGTCGGACAAACTACTTTCCATTCCTCCGGTGTCGCCTCCATCTACACACGGGAACATTACGCGCGCCTCTCTGTCGCTTCTGTCACCTGAGTAGCCACCTGACCCTCGCCTGGATGTAAGCCCTCACCGCCGTCCACTTCTCCCTGGAGTTTCGCTGTGTTTTTGCGCGTTAAAGGGAGTAAACCCGCTCTGTGATCGAACTTCCAACCACAAATAAATGCCATTACGCGCGACGAAGACCAAACCTCTCGCGTAATTGCGTTTGGATCGCTGTAACTTTTGTGAAAAACAAGCCCCCGAGTCGCTGTTGCTGTCGCTGCTGCATCAAGTTGGACACGTTTTTACGCACGGATTATAACGCACTGAGAAATGCCTTCCCCGCGCGAATTTGGCAGCGGCTGGAGACTGGAGAAGGAACCTGCCTTTTGACGTGGGAATATTTACAGAGTGGAATATTGGCACGTTTTTGGGGACGCGTATCAATGATGTGGACGCTCCTGCATGCGGGAGATGTCTGAGCCTCTTCGCTGTAGCTCCTGACGTAGTATTTGTCGTTTTATTGCTTTTTGTAAGTTACATACTTCGCACCAGCGCGTTGTGTCATATTTGAGTAGCAGCCGGTTTTTATAGTTTTGTCTATAGTTGCATTTCTCATAATATTTATCTCGCATAGAGTCAGTATGGACAAGTATTTTATTGTAGTATATATACGATAGCTCTCGTTTACCAGGCACGTTTATTTGTATTTGCACAGTTCATGCACAAGGCAACTCAGACATAAGTAATCACAATACATTAAACACAGTGAAGATACAATCCTTCAGTTGTATGCACAGCAAAACAGAATTATTTTATCCTGGAGTCGAAGCCTCCCTCACATTTTCAGGAAGACTGTCTCACATTAAGTTGTTATGAGGAGGAACAGCAGTTGTACAGGCTTATCCGGGTTTGATGTGTTGCTATGGATCCAGACTACTGATATTATCTAAAAGAAGCTAAATTGGTGTAGTTATAGTTGATAGAATTTGAAGAACATCGGACGCATGTGTTTAAAATTGGAGTATTTATGGAACAAAGTGCTAGAGCTTTTGATGGCCGTTGCGTTCGGGTCATATTGATTTTGTTACTTGGACAATTGTGGATTCAAAACAACTTTTTAAAACTGAAAAATGAACTGCTATACTTTCAATAAGATTCAATGTAGCCACATATTTTCTCTGCAGAAGTAAACGCAATCGCCATTAGTTGTATAGGTGTATTTTTGTGAAGGAATGTTGTGTCTTGCACCAGGATTGGAAGATAACAAGTAAAATGTGACCCACTCGTTTAATTGACCAATTATAAACCAATCAGCTGGTCTTAATTTGTTTGCGGCGAATTCATAGGCATTGACTATCGCATAAATACATAATTAAGTACTGTTTGCATAGAGTGTCAGCCATTTTGACTTTCAACCTTGAATTTAGGCGTGCTGAGAAAGATTAAGACTGGATGTTTGGCCTTTTTTAGAAGATTTAAAATGTTTATCTTTGGGTTTTGCTAATTGCGACGATTCAAGATCCCATATTTCTTGCAGCGCTCTACAGAACCGTCTCAGAGAAACCGCGATACGTTCTTTTGGAATATCTGTGCGCAGCCGTCAACGCGGGCATGTGTCCCGCCAGAGCGCGCCCGCCTGCCCCTGCCTCCACCGCCGCGCCCAGGCTGCCTCCATGCGTGTAGGACCGGAGCCGCATCATGAGCAGCACGGACCTGGAGCGCGCGTCCCTGTGCTCGTCCACCGCAACCGTGTCCTCGGCGCGCACGCTCTCCGCCAACGTGCGCAAGCTGCACAACGCGCTGAACCTGCTGCTGTGCGACCAGGAGCGCGAGCAGTTCATCCACTGCCTGAATGTCTACCACAGCAAGAGGAACGTGTTCGACCTGGTGCAGACGCTCAACGTGATCCTCAACGCGCCCAGCAAGAGACAGCTGCTGCCCATGCTGCGCCTGGTCATCCCGCGCTCCGACCAGCTCCTGTTTGAGCAGTACACCTCCGAGGGGCTCTACCTGAAGGCAGAGCCGGGGCAGGCGTCTAATGGGACCGCCGAGTCGCCTGAGCTGCCACCACCCGGTGCCAGCCCGCCTCCTGCTGCAGCTGCTGCGTCTGCCCCTGGGCACTTCTCTCCAGAGGTGAGTGGCACGCAGCAATCAGACATCACCAAGTTCTAGGACTAAGGCTGAAGATCCAGGACTGAGGCTGTAGATCCAGGATTAAGGCTGAAAATCAAACTGGTTCTAGAAAGGGCCAACTCAAGCAGGAGCACACCAAACTCCAACTATTTCCTCAAGTGAGTCCAGTTTTAGCCTGAAGATTTGAGGAAATGGGTGGAGTTTGCTCTGCTTGAGTTGAAACTAAAACTTGCACCCGGTTTTACACCCGAACATATCACCCTTGCTTCAGTCCTGGATTTACAGCCTCCGTAAAAGCTAATTATCAATAATATCGCTATTATGATGTGTTATACCTCATAATAATTATTATACTTCTTTAGATTTAGTTGAGCTTTGACCCAATCCAAACAAGAATTGAAAAATTAAACATAATATGTAAGGGATAACGTATATTACGCAGGTCATTATCGGAAAATAAGTACCGACAGGGTACCGAAGCGGACCCTGACGCGCAGTGGACGGGTCCGCTTCGCCCTTATTACACGGCTTTATACCAACAGAACACACAACATAAACTTCAGTCCACTTTTAGGAATGTCGAAAGGTTTATTTAAAATAAGAAAGAAAAGAAAATAGTTCCCAATGGCTTTCCCGTGGCTATGCTAGCAACTTCCAAACTAGAACTCCCTGGAACTGCATGAAAACTTCAGCGGTGAGTGACCCATACATAAACCTAACCTAAATCCATAATTCGATCCTCTGCAAATGTGTCCTAAAATGTGCCGGTATCTACTTCCGGGTTTTTTGGGATCGCCTTTTCTCGCATTACATCAGTGTTTTTGTCATGAAAACGTAAACGGAAAATTCTGAAAACGTCCGTGCACTTGTATTAAGAATTTATATGTATAATGTATTCTCCGATTAACATTTAATAGCGTTGATTGATTGGCATTTGCGTTTAATGAGTGTGAAAAACTCCGGAGTGGCTGGAACTATTTTCGGGTTTTTCATGACCGCTTTTTGACGCAGATACATAGTATTTTTGTCATGAAGTCAGTAAATTCTGAAAATTTCCGTGCACGTGTGTGAAGAATGTATATGTATAAGTATTCTCCGATTAACATTTAAGTGTGTTGATTGATTGGTATTTGCGTTTATTGAGCGTGGCTAGCTCCGGAATGGCCGGAACTACTTGCGGAGTTATCCACGCATTTGAAAGACAAGCAGAGAGTGCGTTGCCATGGGCAGCGGTCATTATTGTTTTGAGAGGTCCGTTATAAAAAATAATGACCGGTAGAACGTTTTGAAATTACATTCAAATCAATGGAGCGTTCTACTGCTGCTGTGAGGAGCTGTGTAATAAAATAAATATAATAATACACTTTACACAAACACAAAGCTAACATTGGATATCTCCAGTTTTCCCTTGCGGTTTCTTTTGCTTATTTTTAACTCAAGTAGCTTACACTCATATATGTTATAAATTAAATAGTAACCAAATAAAAGAGTCCAGCCCTCATATCCTTGCCCACTCCTGGTTTCGACAATTGTGGGCGGCACGGTGGCTGAGTGGATTGCACTCTCGCCTCTTAGCAAGAAGGTCCTGGGTTCGAATCCTGGTCGGACCAGGGCCTTTTTGAGTGGCGTTTGCATGTTCTCCCCGTGTCTGCGTAGGTTTCCTCCGGGTACTCCGGTTTCCCCCACCACTAAAAGCATGTACAATAGGTCTGGCATGCGTCTCCTGTACTGGCGACCCTGCTCCCATCTCTGTGTGGAGTGAGAGACTAATACCCAAAAAAACAAAAACAAACAATTGTAAACCGCTGTGTGACTCTGGACTGTGAAAGGCGGTATATAAATAAAGATTACTTACTTACAAACCATATTGTTGATTGAGCATGTCTAGCATAGAGTAGGCTATTATTATTACAAGATAGAAATGAGGCAGTATGATGGAATGTCTGATGGAACGACAATCACAGTTCAAAGTTCTTATTCTTTTCCCACTCGGGGAAATTGGTTTTCAGCAAGCAAACATTTACCAACAGACACAAATAACATTGAAGAGAGCACGAACGAGAGCTGATGTTACAAAGCTAGTTTAAGCCAAACTGTGCAAATTGTCTGTATGACGTGATACAGTATGTGCTATCAAGGTGCTTCTCAGCTGTTGGGATGAATGTAGTTCCCAACCTTTTTGTCCTCCACCCACTGTGAACTTTCTGAGCATATACAGAGCTGGCTGAATGAGCAGCTCTCCTGTGGTCAGACAGAGCACTCCTCAAGGCTCGGTCAGCTCCAGGCCACGTCCGTATTTATTCTCTGTCATCACGGTCTGATTGATGAGGAGACGTTTGTCCTTCTGAAGCTTCTCCCGCCAGTCTGCAGAGGAAACTCGTATGCACCACCGGTATCTGCGATCTATCCCCTCTGGTCTTAACCCAAAGCTCATGGGGCAGGTTTGCACAGATCTGGGACAAGATGACAATTACTTCCTTTTTCAAATATTTAGTTGATGAAATTACCACAGATTATGGTGATTTCATCCAAAAAATTAAATTATCTGAAGAATGATCATCGTACTATAGTCATCTAAGATCAATATCTCAATCAGTTTAAGCTTTTCTTGTGAAGAGAACCTTTATTTGTCCCACACAGGGATCATGTTGGTGCTGTGGTGCACATATAGGACTAATATAAGCACATTAAGTGCGCACAAGATATTCATAGATAAGTAGCTATATATAAATTTGTCATAATAAGAGAAATACATTTCTCTATATATGCAGTATAATGTAAGTTAGCACTATATAGCTGAATAGATAAAGTAGATGTAGGGACATTCTTTGAGTGCGCATTCTAAAATTGCAGTATTGCACATAATTGCAGTATTTAGTATTCACAGATGAATAACATGTACAGGCTCAGCAGTTCTCATTATACAGTCTGACAGCTGACGGAAATACCTGCGAAACCTCTCCTTCACACAGCGAGGGTGGATAAGATAAGATTAGAGAAAACCTTTATTCATCCCACTGTGGGGAAATTTTAAGAAAGTAAGAGCTGTCTGTAGTTAGTAGTAAGTAGTAAGACCAGTCTGTCTCTGAAGCTCCTCTCCAGAGCTTTAAGACCCTGGAAAACGGTTGCGGTTTAGTTTGTGGGTGTTCAGATGAAAGGCCAGTGTGATTTCTCATCTCCCTGGTGTCTTTCTCAGTTCCCGGTGGCCCTGCGCGGCTCTCCGGACAGCTTCAGCAGCAGCAGCGAGGGCATGGCTCCTCTGATCCCTCTTCTCGGGAGGAACTTCATCCACGAGCCCCCGGGAGAGCCTCGCCACATCAGCTTGAAGCGGCACAAGAGCCAGGAGGGACTCGGCTTCAGCATCAGGGGCGGCTCGGAGCACGGCGTGGGCATCTACGTGTCGCTGGTGGAGCCCGGCAGCCTGGCCCAGAAGCAGGGGCTGCGTGTGGGAGACCAGATCCTCAAAGTCAACGACAAAACCTTCGACAACTTCACCCACGCGGATGCCGTTAAGGTAAGACCGCGCTTCGTGTTGTCTAACGAGGCTGCACAGTATGTCGCATGGAGCTCAGCCATAACTCGTAAGGTTGATGAATCACAATCTCAGCTTTTATAGACTGCGGATATTACAAATTTGAGAGGAAGTTGAAACTCTCTCGAAATGGCTTAGCGTGTGTCCCAGTGATGCAGTCCACAAAGTTTATAGCTGTTTTACATTTTTAGGCTTCTTTGTAAAACCCTTGTGTGAAATGGACTGGCCCAAATCACAGGAAATCCCGCCTTCCCATTTTGGGTTAGGGTTGAGTGAATCTGACCTGAAATCCATGAGTTACAAATGGAAATACTGAAAGAATAAATCTTTATGTTAATGTATATTATCTACAGTCAGTGTTGGGCACGTTACTTTGAAAAAGTAATTAGTTATAGTTACTAGTTACTTCTCCCAAAAAGTAACTGAGTTACTAACGGAGTTACTCCACTATAAAAGTAACTAGTTACCAGTAAAAGTAACTATTGCGTTACTTTTTCGTTTTGTTCTGGAACATAATGTGATGTGCACCCGACGTGCGCATTTTTACCTTTAATAGTGCCAGTATTTCCATCTAGAAAAGGCTGTTTTGCTGCTGAAGTCCTGTTCACTCTTAATCTCTCTCTGTGCTGTAAGCACTAAACACCAACACCCTCCACTGTGAATGTGGAAACACCGGTGACGAGCGGTGAGGCTGGTGAAGCACTGACTTCAGTCCAATCAGATGAACATATACATCATATAAATCAAGTGGACAATTTGTTTGGCTACAGCAAAATATGTTTTATGCCCGCATTGTTTGTTCATACAAAACGCAAAACTATGAGTTATGGGTCTTACCTTATAGCTATACCTTATAAATGACCTGCACAGTCCACTTCGGTTCAGACCAGTTCCTTGTTTAAATCCAGTTAATGGTTTGAGCGTAGATATGTAATCCTCCATTTGGAAATGAGTCCAATGAGTTTTAAAAAGTAAAACAAAACGCGTGTGTCCTCCATAAACTCCTGTGTTTTGCTAGCGGCAGCCGAGTGCATCCAATTTCTAAAATCAACCGTCTTACACTTCACCTCTCTTTCTTATCATTCCTTTAGTAATTGAAAAATTACCCTAAGTGCATTTTAGATTATGTAAAAATGTGTTATATGTATGTTAGCCAAACCTGTTGATATCCTTAGCAGATAAACCAGGAAGAGAAAGGAGCTTATTGATGGAATTGTATGCAGCCGACTTCTGCGCTCACATGCGCTACTCTGTGGCTGACCTCACGGTGATACAAGCCGTGGTTGAGCGCGATTAAGACCCATATTTGTTTCAAAAACACAATTTATGAGCATCCTCTCAACTGTAGACATGTAGATTGTAAAGGAAATATGATTTACATCAGCCAATAACATCTGAGAGGTTTTCTCATCCTCCCTTCTCTCATGACAACACGTTCATTGTGCGTCTTGAGTAACGCGCAGTAACGGGATGTCAGAAATGATAACGGCGTTATAGTTACTGTCAAAGGAATTAGTTAGATTACTCGTTACTGAAAAAAGTAACGGCGTTAGTAACGCCGTTACTAGTAACGCCGTTATTCCCATCACTGTCTACAGTGCCTTGCGAAAGTATTCGGCCCCCTTGAACCTTTCAACATTTCGCCACATTTCAGGCTTCAAACATAATGAGTGGGACACAATCGTGAAGTGGAACTAAATTTATTGGATAATTTAAACTTTTTTAACAAATAAAAAACTGAAAAGTTTTGTAGCGCCATCTTTTGCTGCAATTACAGCTGCAAGTCGCTTGGGGTATGTCTCTATCAGTTTTGCACATTGAGAGACTGGAATTCTTTCCCATTCTTCCTTGCAAAACAGCTCGAGCTCAGTGAGGTTGGATGGAGAGCGTTTGTGAACAGCAGTCTTCAGCTCTTTCCACAGATTCTCGATTGGATTCAGGTCTGGACTTTGACTTGGCCATTCTAACACCTGGATACGTCTATTTGTGAACCATTCCATTGTAGATTTGGCTTTATGTTTTGGATCATTGTCCTGTTGGAAGATAACTCCGTCCCAGTCTCAGGTCTTTTGCAGACTCCAACAGGTTTTCTTCCAGAATGGTCCTGTATTTGGCTCCATCCATCTTCCCATCAATTTTAGCCATCTTGCCTGTCCCTGCTGAAGAAAAGCAGGCCCAAACCATGATGCTGCCACCACCATGTTTGACAGTGGGGATGGTGTGTTCAGGGTGATGAGCTGTGTTGCTTCTACGCCAAACATATAGTTTTGCATTGTGGCCAAAAAGTTCGATGTTGGTTTCATCTGACCAGAGCACCTTCTTCCACATGTTTGGTGTGTCTCCCAGGTGGCTTGTGGCAAACTTTAAACGAGACTTTTTATGGATATCTTTGAGAAATGGCTTTCTTCTTGCCACTCTTCCATAAAGGCCAGATTTGTGCAGTGCACGACTGATTGTTGTCCTATGGACAGACTCTCCCACCTCAGCTGTAGTTATCTGCAGTTCATCCAGAGTGATCATGGGCCTCTTGGCTGCATCTCTGATCAGTCTTCTCCTTGTTTGAGATGAAAGTTTGGAGGGTCTGCTGGGTCTTGGTAGATTTGCAGTGGTCTGATACTAATTCCATTTCAATATAATTGCTTGCACAGTGCTCCTTGAGATGTTTAAAGCTTGGGAAATCATTTTGTATCCAAATCCGGCTTTAAACTTCTCCACAACAGTATCTCGGACCTGCCTGGTGTGTTCCTTTGTCTTCATGGTTCTCTCTGCGCTTTAAACAGAACCCTGAGACTATCAAAGAGCAGGTGCATTTATACGGAGACTTGATTACACACAGGTGCATTCTATTTATCATCATCAGTCATTTAGGACAACATTGGATCATTCAAAGATCCTCACTGAACTTCTGAACTGAGTTTGCTGCACTGAAAGTAAAGGGGCCAAATAATATTGCACGCCCCACTTTTCAGTTTTTTATTTGTTAAAAAAGTTTAAATTATCCAATACATTTCGTTCCACTTCACGATTGTGTCCCACTTGTTGTTGATTCTTGACAAAAAATGTATGTTACTTTATGTTTGAAGCCTGAAATGTGGCGAAATGTTGAAAGGTTCAAGGGGGCCGAATACTTTCACAAGGCACTGTATTTATACACGGGCTGTAGATCCTGGACTGAGGCTGTAGATCCTGGACTGAGGCTGTAGATCCCGGACTGAGGCTGTAGATCCAGGACTCAAGCTGCAGATCCATGACTCAGGCTGTAGAACAACGACTGAGGCTAAATTAAACCACTCTTTCTTCAAATACAAGTGAGATTATTGAGTGAAAGTCCATTCAAATATCAGAATAATATAAAAGCAGTATTTCTAGCAGGCACACCACACACTACAGCCCTGTGCAGCCCTGTTGTCTCTTCTTCTTGGATCTTGTGTGGTTCTAACATGTCGCGATGTGCTGAGTTTTGACTGATGCGTTTTGACAAGAGCTGGAAAAATATCTCGAAAGTTGTATTGGTAGTTTGAAACTTTGTTGTTGGTAGAAAATAAGGCCGGTATCCTCTAACCAGGGACATTCTGTTATAATGATCTTGTCTCTTGTGGTGCATTTAAATTGATTGTGTAGAAACCGTTTTGTTGCATGAGCTATCAGAAATATTTAATGAAGAAAAAGACTTCTCAACGATCAAAAGTAACTATTGCTCAAACAGAGAGATTCAACCAGACAAAATGCGTTATTAGAGTATTATTTATTGGTTCTGCAAGTAAGCTGCCACCACATAAATTAGCACATAAGACTTTGCAGACATTATTTGCAAGAATGAAGAAGGGGAAAATTCAATAGAGATTCTGATATGAAATCCCCAACAGTAGTACTAGTAGTAGTAGTAGTAGCAGTAATGGTGTAGTCAGTAGTAGTAGTAGTAGTAGTAGTAGTAGCAGTTGTAGTAGCAGTAGCAGTTGTAGTAGCAGTAGCAGTAGTTGTAGTGGTAGAGGCAGTAGTAGTAGTAGAAGGGGCAGCAACAGCAGTAGCCCAGCAGCAGTAGCAGTAGTAGCAGTAGTAGAAGCAGCAGCAGAATCAACAGCTGGAGCTGTCCGTGGTCCTGATCTCTTTTACCTCTGGCTCTCCCTGCTGTACCAGTGGCCTGTGTCTGTTATGTTGCCGTATGTGCAGAGGGAAATGGTGCAAATATGTGCTGATACCAAATGTCATGAATTATTCAAGTTAAATGAAGCAGGAGTGTTATCGGGTTAGAGCTCAGATGCTCCAGAAGGAGCAGGTGTTTGGATCAGGGAATAGACCATTGTTTCTGAAGAAAAGCCTCCACGATTTGGCAGAAATGTCTAATTGCGAGCAGCATATTACTTGTAAAAGATAAGATGAAAGAACATTCATCCCTGCCAGTGGGGACATGTAAGTAGCTGTAAATACTTCTGAAATTTTGGGCCAAAATACTGGCATTAAAGTCATTTTATGTTATTTTTTTTTTAATTAAAGCTTCCTCCTGCTCCTTTCAGGCCATAGAAGTGCTCATGGACAAAGTTTTGCTCCAACTGTGTGTGTGTGGGCAATTCAATTCAAATAATTTCCTGGAGATTTTCTGAAGCTCACACATATATTTTTAGATTTTTCTGTCACTGGAAATAAAAGGCGACCGCACACAGAAGCTTAGTATAAGAACTTCCATTTGACTATTCCGGTGGCACGGCTCTATTCCTCCGCTCTCTGGAAAAGCAGGATTTACCGGGATCGTCTGTCTGAGATACCAGCAGAGCTCCATCACACACAAGCATATCTGACACTGCAGCTGTTTTGCACCACAACTTTTTATTCAGTGATCCAACTTCAAAATGTGCCCAGGATGATGCTAAGATCGTGACGAAATTGTTGCCGTGGAGACGTGTAAACAGCCAGCAGAAAGACAGGGTCCTCAAAGGTATATTTCTGCTCCTATTTTTCTTGTCCTTTTGTAAGTAAGTAAGTAAGTAAGTTTTAATTTATATACCGCCTTTTCACTGCAGATCTGAGTCTCAAAGCGGTTTACAATTGTTAATTTTTGGGCATTTGTCTCTCACTCCACACAGAGATGGGAGGGGCCAGTACAGGAGGCACATGCCAGAACTATTGGACATATTTTTAGTGGTAGGGGAAACCGGAGTCCCCGGAGGAAACCTAAGCAGACACGGGGAGAACATGCAAACTCCACTCAGAAAGGCCCTGGTCCGACCGGGATTCGAACCCAGGACCTTCTTGCTGAGAGGTGGTCACGAGAATCCAAAATTAATGTGACTTTAGAAGCTGCTTTTGTGAGCAGACCTGAGAAGTTGTGCTGTACTGTATTTTTTGCAAGATTTAAAGCTGGGGTGTGTAACTTACAAACCACAAATTATAGAGCTATGTAATAAATCTGTGGTTCCTGGTTCAAAACAGTTCATATCTCTAATTTTGACATGTGTTTCTGGCCTCTGTCACATCTTTAGATCAACTTTTTCAGACTGAAAAAGTGAAAAAGAGAGGACCACCCACACTCAACCAATCAGCTCTCAGCCCAAAGCGTCAAATAGTGACTCACAGGGTTCTTTCTTAGTATGCACAAGATAACATGTTTTTTGTAATAAGATAAAGACAGCCTGTTGTGGTTCAGTTGGGACTAAAACATGTAATATCTCTGAAACAATAAAGTTACATACCCCAGCTTTAAAATACATTTACCCTTTTCTATATTATTCATGCGTCTGTATGATTACTCACATTCCAGTTGTCTGAGTTGCCAATAATCATTGTTGGAAGCTCTTACAATCGTCTAATAAACAAAACAGGAATGACGTTTTCAGGTTTTCAGAAACAAATATTTTTCTCTGTGTTCTTGTTACAAGCGTGAGGTCAGTGAATGTGTCGTGAGGCGTTTGAGTGCTGTTCGTAAACATGACCTCTGCTCCGCAAGCTGAGAGGAGCCGCCAGTGTCTTTGCTGATCGCCAGAACCGAGCCCCGTCACACGAGTTAACATTAGGACAGTCACTTTGACGGCTCCCATTCAAATCAACAAATTCAGTTTTTCACTAGTTTTATTAAAAGTAAGTTATTTATAAGGTTTTTTTTGTCTTCAATAGGCCCAAAGATTTGTTGTGTGTTTGTCTGTGGGTAAGTGTGTGTGTTTATGTGTGTGTGTCTGTCTGTCTGTCTGTCTGTGTGCGTGTGTGTGGGTGTGTGTTTGTCTGTGTGTGTGTCTATGAGTTGAGTGTTCATTCATTTCAAGTTCAGTGTATCAAACATTAATAGTCAAATGTCACTACATAGAATTTTCTAGCAAATCATGCATTAACAATTACTTATTATAATATTGTACATTACTCAAACTCGAAAAGGAGTGGGAGGAAGAAAGAAAGTGTAGTAGTACACTGTAGTGGTAGTGTGTGTGTGTGTGTGTGTGTGTCTGTGTGTGTGTGTGAGTTTAAGAGAAAACATAAGGATATTGAAAGAAGAGAAGTGGCGGGGATAGGCAGCGGTCCCTGATATTAGCATGGTGGAGGAAAATACAACTCTTGGTCTGTTTTTCATGAAGGATCAATGTTGTACCTGGTTTAATAAAGAGACTGTTTTGCACATTATGTCTCCACTAGTATGAACTACTTCAGTTAATGAGCAAACTGAACTAGTAAAAGCTTCACCTCTCTTTTACCTGTCACGTTCAGGCTAGAGGAGCCGCTGGTTTGGGGGGAGAGAGGGGGGAACATGACACCCAGCAGCTGGTCTCCATGGAGCGACCGGCCGGAGCAGACACACACAAAGGAAAGTCGCATTCAGAGAGCTTTAGTGACACATGGACTGTCACAATTACACACACAGACAACAACAGCATTTTATTAGCAACTTTTGAAGCATTTCTATTCTAAAAATAATAACAAATCAATCGGTCAACCTTTTAGTTGTAGCTCATACACCAACAACCAAACACAAAATATAAAAAACACACAAAAAATAACCATTAACATCATAAATAATCACAGTACATTCAAAAGAGTGAAGATGCAATCCTTCAGTTGTATGGACAGCTTATTGTTTTGAACCTGGATTTGAACATTGTCAGAGTAGAAGCCTGTCTCTCATTTTCAGAAAAACTGTTCCAGATTTTAGCTGCATACATTTTAAATGCTGCCTCCTTCTGTTTAGTTCTGACTCTGGACACCAGCTGGAGGTCAGTCCCTGTGCCCCTGGCCCAGTGCTTTATGTTAACTCAAATCGTGAAACAAAATTTGCAAGCAGCTACCAAAGAGTCAATCACGAGTGTTCCTGCTCGTGCTACTTCCTAAATATGAATATGGGGACAAATAAAAGGACACCTGGGGCAGCAGTGGTTAGCGCTTATTTCAATTCCACCTCCACCTTTCCGTGTTGAGTTTGCATGTTCTCTCCATGTCTGTGAAGGTTCCCCCGGGAGCTACAGTTTCCCCAACCTATAAAAACATGTACAGTTGATCCGGTCTGTGCCTCCTGTGGTGATCTTGCTTCTATTACTGCTCGCTTTGTATCACAGTCATTACAGTTGTTACTTAATGGTCCATCCATCCATTTTCTACCCCTTAATCCGTTTCTGGGTCAGGGGGTGGCCAGAGCTGCAGCCAGAAACTGTGGTGAAACCAACCAATAAGTGAAACCACACTGAAACCACACTTATTGGTCAGTTGTCATAAACACCAGGGTCACACAGAGCATTACACCACAGATTTCTAAGCCCAGAATGGTGAATGTGACACAAACGTTTTCTGAGGTAGAGGAGTTTACTTTTCACTGTAATAGAATGGAGCCAAGTGAGTGGGAGCAAAACTTTGCCCATGATCTCAGGACTGGTGTCTGTCCAGCAGAAGTTTCACCCCCTCGTCACCGTAATCACATTTCCCCTGTCCTGTATTGCCTTAAACAACCGGCCCACACTGGCTGCTCCCTCCCTCCACGGCAAGTCCTCCTCGGGCTGCACCAGTCTGAATGTGAGCATCCCAAAGACCATGTGACGTCACTGCCACCAGACTCCTCCACGGAGCTGAAACGTAACCCTGGTCTCCATGTCCGACACGGGTTCTGTCTTTGTCTGCAGAGGACGACTCATTCACTCACTTTACGTCGGCTTGCAAAGACCAGCATCAGTTACTACTTTGACACAAACAGACGGATTTAAAAAGCCTTACAAATGACAACACTCAATTAGATCATGATGAGATCTACAACATTGTATCTAGGCCGAGAGACAGAGCATGCACATTACTGCGTATTAAACCAGGTCAAATAGTCCAAATATACTTGAAATGTATGACATTTTCAGAAAAGTTATGCTTGCACAGATTAGCATGTGCTATTTTGATGCTAGCAGCAGCCTCCCCATGTCTAGTCCTGACCAGCAGGAGGCCTGTCCCTGTGCTCCTCAGAGTCTGAGTTTCTTCATATGGCACAGATGTACTTTGATGCGAGGCCATGCAGAGACTTGTAACAAACAGAACTGCTTTAAAATCTATTCTCTGAGCCACTGGAAGCCAGTGCAGAGACCTGAGCTCTGGTCTAATGTGATGGTCCTCCAGAGCCCTACTCTTCATCTAACTACTTTCTGTCATCTCGTTTATCTGCCAGACTCTCTGGTCTCATCAAAAGTGTGTCCATGCGTAGCACTGGATTATGACTTAGATTAAACTTTGAATTTAACCTTGAGCGCTGTGTAAAACTCACAAATAATCCCGGTGCCAGGGCTGATGTGAGGGCTTCTGTTGTGAGGTATGAGGTCGAGACGGATATGTTATGAAAGATAATAACGTCCTCTCATTATTCATGTCCTCCCCGAATGTTCCGGACATTGGCTTTACTCAGAGTTTACAGAGTTGAAATGACAAAACTCATAACAAACATACAATAATTCTGTTTGTTTGGCTCTTAAACATAATCTTGAGAATAAATACTTTGGCATGGTGTGTTTTAGAAAGTTATATTCATTCTCAAGTTGAAAATGTAAGAATAAACTTCATAAACAATCTAGTTCTTGGCATTTTCATGACCACTAGCCATTGAGGCACTTCCACAGTGTCATCTAGCCAGCTTCAGCTCCATCGATACAGTCGTGCTATACCTTGTTGTAAAGCTAAGGAAGGCAGTGGTCTTTATTGGTATTTAATTGATGATTGTTTATGATTGTGTCACACATTTCCAAATATGGCACTAGTGAAGCTGTGGTGTGAATCAAGACAGACACAATATCAAACTCCATTTTAAAGCTCGGAACAGCGCAATCCAGTCAAAACAGTTTTCTATCCATGTTGTCAGCCCCTTGACAAGTCTGTGAACTAAAGTGGCCCTCTCACTAGAAAGTTTGGGAACCCCTGCTCCAGTTGTACAATGTGAAACCAAATTTGGCACATTTAGACAACAACAGATACAATGGCCAATGGCTAGCGAAAGAATAATGACATGTGAAGCGTCTTTGAGTGTCCAGAAAAACACTAAATAAAACTATTATTATTTAGTGTTTTAAACATATTTTTTATGTTTTATTCATATATTTGGGGGTGGGGGTGGGGGGGGTTAATCTGCTCAAAGGGCAACCTGAGTTCTCTATGTGTTCTTTAACAGTTTTCTCCTGTCTGCTTGTTGTGGCTCGAGGCTGATCCTTGTTGTTCTGTCAAATATTAGTTTGTCATCAGCCCCGGGCCTGTGCTGTACTCTTCACCTGTTTTACTCCACTGCGGCTCCCATCAATACAGGAGCATTTATTATATTTTCACAGCTGCATCATGAATTTAGTTGGCATAGCAGTCGTCGCTACAAACATGTATTTTAAGAGTAGGACAGTGCATACGACTGTTGTTATATATACTTATTATGGTGAATTACCAGTTTACATCTATATAGTTTTAGTCACATGGATAACTGATTTCTATCTATATTCTCGTGTTTGGGATATACAGTATATAGAGAAATGCAGGGAGCCTAACACTGACCTCTGTTGTACCCCAAATTGTTTTTTGTTTTATGTGTGGATGTTGTGCCATTCGCCCAAACACACTGTGATTGCCATCTATGAAGAGTTTCATATCATGGGCATTTGTCACTTCAGTCAAAAACGGATGAAAGTGTGTATTACGGAGTATGTCACAATGACAGTTTCAAAGGATTTTTAAATCTGAAATTCCTCCAGGTGCTCCTGTTTCTCCCATTACCCAACACATGCACCAAAGGTAAAATCCTCTGCTCCTCGCGTCATTCCTGACAGGTTTCTCTTTAGTGTCATTGAGAGATGGGTCAAATGCAGAAGATGATTTTGGTCTTTTTCTGTTTATAAATGTAGTCTATTCCAATGTTATTATCTGCTCTTTTCGTAGTTGTTAAATATTTATTCATTCAGATTTCTGATTCTGATTCATACATTCTATGACAATTAAAGAACCTTTTCTCAAGGTTTTCTGGTCTTGGACTGGTTCTGGTTCCGAGCTGAGTCCGCTTGGTTTTCCATCAGAGAAGAGCAAGTGCTAGTTAATATAGCAACATACTGTTTCCTTTCCTTTCCGTAGTTGGCGTTTGGCAGTTTTTGCTGTTTTTCAAGTTATGTATGAAACAGTTATAGCACTTGATTAAAGTGAGTAAACCTTATAAATTACTTACTTTTAATAAAACTAGTGGAAAACTAAAACCTTTCTGGGGAATTGCATTGATTTGAATCATAAATAGCTACTCTGGGAGTAGTTTCAGAATTCTAGTGTTAACCTCAATATCATATTTGATCAATTTCAATGAAGAGCAACTTTTCCCGTTGCTTTGATTGGACAATACAGAGAAAAATTACTTACTTTTGCTTTACTTTTAGTTTTGGTTTATTCTTCCTCCACAATCGATTACAGTAAAATGAATCATCGATGTGAATCCATGTGGTTTGAACACCTCGCTTCATCGATCTCTCCTACTCTACGTGATTACTGACCCTCTCCATGTTGACTTTAACAAGATCTGATGAGCCGAAGCCAGAGTATTTTTTATCAACACTCGGGGGGAAAAAAAAATAACACGAGCACTCAGCTAATTGGATTTGTTAGTTTGTGAACGTTGGTGTACAGTCCAAACAGGCTGTTCTTCACTGTACGGAGGGACAAAAATAGAAAGGAATTATGTTATAGGCTAGCAACACTGCGCTTATATGGGCAGAGAATGTGGACTGAATGTGAGACCACTCTTGTCTCAGTATACATCCAAACCACTCTTGTTTCAGTATACATCCAGACCACTCTTGTTTAAAGATTAAGATGAATCGATCTTTTATTTGTCCCACAGTCGGGAAATTTCAGTTTTACGTTGCAGGTTAAAGAACAGTAGTACACATCTCTTGTCTCAGTATACATACAGACGTCTCTTGTCTCAGTATACATACAGACGTCTCTTGTCTCAGTATACATGCAGACGTCTCTTGTCTCAGTATACATGCAGACCTGTCTTGTCTCAGTATACATACAGACCTGTCTTGTCTCAGTATACATGCAGACCTGTCTTGTCTCAGTATACATACAGACGTCGCTTGTCTCAGTATACATACAGACCTGTCTTGTCTCAGTATACATACAGACCTGTCTTGACTCAGTATACATACAGACCTGTCTTGTCTCAGTATACATACAGACCTGTCTTGTCTCAGTATACATACAGACGTCGCTTGTCTCAGTATACATACAGACCTGTCTTGTCTCAGTATACATACAGACCTGTCTTGACTCAGTATACATACAGACCTGTCTTGTCTCAGTATACATACAGACCTGTCTTGTCTCAGTATACATACAGACGTCGCTTGTCTCAGTATACATGCAGACCTGTCTTGTCTCAGTATACATACAGACCTCTCTTGTCTCAGTATACATGCAGACCTCTCTTGTCTCAGTATACATACAGACCTCTCTTGTCTCAGTATACATGCAGACCTCTCTTGTCTCAGTATACATGCAGACCTCTCTTGTCTCAGTATACATACAGACCTCTCTTGTCTCAGTATACATCCACACCTCTCTTGTCTCAGTATACATACAGACCTCTCTTGTCTCAGTGTATGCAGGCTCAGACCAGACCAGACAAAGTTCAAAGTCCAAATTTCTTTTCTTCTTCTTCTTTCTCCCAGTAGGGGAAAGTTTTTTTTTTTTGCACTTAGCAATCACTCTTCCGGGCAGCATCTTGAAGCTAAAATCTTCTTGAAAAATCCAAGACAGACCCCCTTACAAATCCATACTTTTTCATTAGTCGTGTCTGACGGACATGCCTGCAGTCAGCTGATGGAGGCTCTCTACACCTGTAGCAGCTGTGGCATTGTGCTGTGTAATAGGATTTCAGAAAGGTCAACATAAAGAACAGCTGTGCAATACGTCCTATTCTGTGAGGTAACTTCTGAAAGAGAAGTTCTCACTAAATCACATTCAAATTTGTGAACCATAGTATATGAAAATGTCCCTATTATGCATATTTTACAAAGGTGTTGATTTGCTAACAACAGATCCGAGAATCCAACAGTTTACACAGGAAACAGTGACCACTGTCTGTAAATGCTAAAAAAATATCCATAAATGTCCCGATCATCAGTTTTTAGAGCCCGTCCATGGACAGACTGTAGATCCAGGATTGAGGGAAGTCGGGGGAAACTTTACAAACATAATGAAATCCTTAATATTACTAGTTCATATGTACTCTGTTAAAGGTCATACTGATTATGAACCACCAACGTGATGTGCATGTTCGTCTTGGATTTGGAGACCAGTTTTTATGGTTTTATGTTTCATTTATCAGTAAACATTTGTGTTTTCTGTCTCATATCTGATAAACACAACTCCAAGCCTCCAAATGCCGCCCACATCAAGTCAAAGCAAAGCAACTATTTCAAATCTCAAACCCAGACAAACTTCACTAAGTTCTCCCCGAATCAAAACATTTGAATTAGTGTGTGCAGCCTCAGTAATTATGAAAATGATTAAAATAGGATGCGTTTTCAACTGGTTTAACT